TCATCACAATGAATATATTCTTCAATCGTCACATTCATTGCCAATTTGGAAATAGCTATATTTGACTATTTTCCTTACATCATATTTCCTTATTATATTTACTGAATTAAGTAACGTAAGTGTTGATGTCATATCAATGATACAGGAAGTACTTTTATTTTGGAGCCATTAATAAGAACATTGAATTAAAATAGTTTGACTAAAACTAAGAGATTTATATGTTTTAAATATGGGAAAAATATATGAGTATGAAAAAAGTTATCTAGGATAAGGGCATATTGTTCAAACATAGGAAATGCGATTTTACCACTATTATCGTTACAATAAAATCGTTCTGAGTGGATTCTGCTTTTGAGACTAGCCCTCTGCGTAGGAGGTAGAAGATAGTATAGTGCACCAAAGATTTATATATTATGTGAAACTATACATGTTATTACTTTCACCCTTAAAATTTGACGACCATTGACCACAACTAGAGAGAGGTTAGGCGCAGAACTACTAAATACCTTTACGTGCTTTTTGAAGCACGACAATGTAACACAGCCTAATATTAGCTCCTAAGAATTAGCTGATAGAACCATCCACCCATTAACTATATTTTAGGCTCAAACTCAGGATCTTAGGATTTCCAGCCGAAAATGCTAGGCACTAGAACAATGAGGCAACTTAAAGCAGGTTGGCATCGAGACAAAATGTCCCAGCTACTTTCATATTGTATGATTTATTTAGCAATTTTTTTGAAAGTTCACGCATGAACTGAAAACTACGTCTAAATTTTTAATTTTTATATTAATAGGGATTATTAGTTGAACTGATATATCTAGACATAGAGATAGACAATAAATATAGAGCTAGCGGACGGGTATCGATCTACAGTGGAACAGTAGCTGCAAGCTCTACAATTACTTTTATGCAATATCCTTTAAACTTTTAAGTAAAAGTTTGCAAATTTTTTATAAATTCTATTTTTTTTAATATATTGTAACGATAAAACCACAATTTAGGATAAAAAAGTGATAAAAATATTGGCTACATAGATGGAATAATTGATAATTATGAAATTTAAAATGAAATTATTGATTACAATAATCGTGTTACACGTCATATAAATAAAATTGAAAATGTATAAATTGAGCGAAAAAATTGATTTGTATATCATTAATATTTTAAATATTTTGATTGTTAAATTATACATATGTGTAATTGTTTGCAGCTACGTTCCGATAGAGAGTGAGTGAAATCATTTACACTACATCGTACGGTTTTAATAAAAATATAAAGCATATTATGAAGATAGCGAAATGCAAACTATATGGAGAGATCCATTTATAACCTATGTAAGGAATATTTAAAAAAATGTCTTATTTAAGGCTAATTTAATGAATTAGCCTTAATTCATTGGCTTTTATCAAATTTAAAATGCCGTCGAAAATGTAAGGTTATAGAAATATTTGATATGTATCATATGGACTTTATAGTTATTATTACATATATATGTATATGAGTTATTTTACTCCGAAATTATTATATATTACTTAAATATTTTGTGTAAAAATGGCATTACTTAAAAATTGTGTGAGTAAAAACATACAATAAACTGCAATGATCTATTTGTATAGTATCGATATGTGTCGGTGTAACGATCTACTTTTATAGAGTCATCTAAATTGGACTTGGGTAATAGTTTTTTTAAACATCAAACATAATTACCATAATATTTCATTATACTGTGTCAAAAAATCGACAGTCACTTTCACACTCGCCTCTATTTTAATGTGCGTGCAATATTTAGAAATAACTCGTACATTATATATTAAATATAAGACACACATAAGTTCACAATAATCCTTAGCCTAGTGATATGTATGCGTATAGGTTATTGCTCTACCTACGGTAAAATATATTAAAATACAATCGCCAACATTCAAATTTCATAGCGAAACACGATATAGGCTGTAGGGTCGTGGGTTTTGACTGATACGAAATATTTAAAAAATAACACAAACCTAACATACAATTTATGTCTACATTTTGTTTTTAAAGACCTAAAGAAAGTTAGTTATTCGACAATATTTTATCAATTATCTGTACTATATTTTTGAATTTTTTAATAATTTTTGAAACATCCTTGATATTTGATATCAAATTTATAAAAATATGAACATTTTAATACAATTAAATATCATCATCAAAACCTACGACGCTACGACGTCTAACAGTAAGCCTCGTCAGCGCAGATACTACTAAGTAATTGAATTTCGGGAGAATTTGACACGAAATTGACTTAACTTACGATTAAATAATCTGATCGGGCTCGTGACCTTCAAATATTTATCCTTTAATACATTCTATAATAAGCAACTCTACCTAAAACCCCCGACGGAATAACTTATTTTGTAAAATATTTTAATTTGGTTTAATTTGCTTAGACCCTCCAAAAACCTAAAATATTTTATTCTTGTATTTTTAGATTCAATATTATACAAAAAAATATTATATATATTACACGCCAATGGCGTTTAAAATTGTAGACATTTTTTAAGTAAATCGACTCAAAAAATTCAAAATACATCACAGATTAAAGATATGCATAGATTTTTGTTAGACAATTTTCAGTTTATTACGTCGGGGGTGAATCTTGTGCGTTACAAAAGAAAATTTATCATCTCTACCGATGCTATTGTACTTTGCAGGCTACACTTACTCGAGAAAAAGAACTGCATCTCGCCTTGGAGTTATTGCAAAAAAACTTATTCGTTTTTACCTTTGTGTATCTTACATGCTATTCGCAATAAAATTCGCTTCTTCGTCAGTTCAACATGGCCTTATCTATCTTTATATAAAAATGAAATACATTCCAGATCAAAAGTTTTAGTCGTAGTATGAACGTATCACAAATATAGGTCTAGTCATATCTAGTAATTTCAAATTTAGTAATCTGTGTAAAAGTTGAAATTAATTTAATCGGTAAATTTAATCACTCCTGATATATTTTCAACTTTGAAAATTAAATATTTTTTTATAGAAAACTAAAGAGAACCAATTAAATATATTAGTTATCTTTTAAAATCTGTCCGTGGCCTTTATATAGATAGATGTTTGAGGTTGTCATATAATAGTTAAAATATCGTTCTTAATTTTATCATTAATCAAAGACATTGTTTGATTCACACGAATGAGTTTGATTCAAACTCATTCGTGTCTTTTACAATACACGTCACGTTGCGTCTGTTAATGTAACACTGTGTAATGAAATTAAAAAAAAATGTCTTTAAATATTTTACATAATGTTTTATTTTTTTTAATATTTGAAATATGATTGCTGCTAAATATGAGATAAGCAAGTTTCTGCTCCAGAAAATTGCGAGACTCCTTCCGAATTCAATACTATTCAAGAGCGCATTTTCCCTCCCTGCTTTTAAAAGCACACATCCAAACCGTAAGATCCACAAAAGTAAAAGCTACGTAGCATTTGTAATATATTTACGAACAATATTCACAATAATCTTTTACTTTATACACTCTTTCAATTGACATGTCGGGCTCGTCACGTTTTCTTGTACAATTAATTAGTAATTTTTAATTTTGTATTCATTATAACCGAGTCTGTGTATATTTTTGTTCTAGATCATTCCGGTGGGTTACTTCGACTTTACAATATCCTTACTTCATTTAATAAAACATTTCTGAAGTTAATTTCTTACTTGAAATTTTGTCTTTTTGTTTGATATGTAATTGCGAACTGCAAGTATTAGGATTTTATCGAAAATTAGGTGATATTTTTTCATTAAGTACTGTAATATGATTATTATTTTCATTATATTAATTCAATAATAATCACAATATAATATCGATTTTTATTGCCTATTCGATTTCCATTCGATTTTTTTTTACTTTCGTAATTCTTTACAAATTTTTACCCACCGAATGACTCTCGCTCTTTCTTGTCACGATACAGCTAAATAATACAATTATATTACAGATAAAATAGAAAGCTAAACAGCACACTTACACTAAACTATTATAAAATACATTACCCTTAACCTACGTGAATCAAAAGATCCTGATATGTTTCGTTACCTTGGTTGCAACTTATCACAAGTTGATCTTACCTACTAATTGATATATAATTGATATTAAATCGATTCTAATTGATATATAATTGTGAATATTGCTAAAAGCACAAAATAGTTACTATTATTCATAAAAGCTTATTAGTATTATGCTTTTGTCTTTCTTCCATTAGATCATCCATTTAAATGACAGGACGTAACATGTACTACTCGTTTTCTTAATAAACTTTTATGAATATATAGTTCTATAAAATGTAATTATCAATATTGATAAACATTTTTCTTGTATTGTAAAATTATAATTTTTATTATTTTGTATTAAATACAAAATTCAGTATAATATACTCGACGACTTAACACTAACAATTACTAGAAGATGTAAGTGCCGCAGAAATATACAAACGTTTGGGCAACTTATCACCTCGCTCTACTAATTTACTGACCTCGCTGTCACTTTGCTTAACCTAAACCTATTCTACAAAATTTAAACTTCTTAAATTGCTTCGAGAATATACCAATAGCTTATAACAAATTTACATCGCTAATATATTTCTCTACACACACATATGGTATTTCCTTTAATATGTCTTCAAATTGAAAAGTTGATTTTGAATATCATTAGTTTTGAATAGAAGGCGTAACAGTTATATTTGAACAATACAAGATCAACATGATAGCCACCCACAAAATGAGATACTTTCTAATACACATTGTAGCTCTTCAATATCTCTACGCTTTGTGGTTCCGTTATAAGTATCAAGTCATTTTGTAGGCAATAAATAGTATAATTATAAGCACAGTTAATATCTAGTCACTAAACGTATCCGCCGGCTGGTCGGGCTCAGTGATCGAAGTTTAACTATAAGACATTTATAAATACACAACAAGTAAATTCAAAAATATAGACAACAATACTAAGTAGCTCTAGAAACCTTGTCGGAAGGGGTTCTTGATAGGATTCTGTGCCGCAGGTGGAGGAGCTGCCGATGGGGCTGGCGCAGTGCCGGGGGCCCTGAAGGGGTTACTGGGCGTGGGCTGTGGCTGCGCGGGCAACTGGCGAGGCTGGCTATAACTCTCCTGCTGGAAATCCTGCTGCTCGTACCCTTGAGAGTAGTTCTGATAGCCCTCCTGGTAGTCATATCTCGAATTATCCACATTAGACTCTTGAACGGAATCTCTTTGGCCAGGCATATTGTTGTACTCCAAATGATTTTTAAAATCACCATTTACTGGTCGCTGGTCTTGCATGCTATAAGTCTGATATTCTTTTTCTGGTGGATCAGCCATCAAAATATTTGCTTCGTTTTCGAACGGTTTAAAATCGTAGATATGTCTTAGATACATCAAAACGGGAGCGTATAATAAGTTACTGAATGCAATAAAAAGATTTAGGGCTGTAAATCCTATCATCTCCACTACTCCACCAGCAATTATTGGTCCGACAGCGTAGGCGAACGAGTAAGATATGTCGGCTATAGCGTAAATACTTCCATAGACTGATACATACCGCACATCTACCAGATACCCAAGTGTAGGTAATAAAGCGGTGTCGATGAGAGCAATTCCAAAGCATATTCCGCAAATAGGTATCATGAGCATTTTATAAGAATTGGCGAATGGTATTATAAAACAACACAGACCTTCTAACGCTAAGCCGCCAGCGGCCATAAGCCACTGATGCTGTGGATATTTTTTCGCCATTTTTACTGTAATCACCACACCCAAAACGTGTGGGAAAAATGCCGGAAGCCAAATCATTCCTATCTTCCAGTTATCTTTTGTAAGATTATCTTCCATCCAAAGAGAAATTGTGGGCTCGAGAAACGCTAATGCAACGTTAGACATCATGAGTGCTCCAGCACAAACGGCAATATAAGGATCTATCAAAAGCTTCCATATAGGTGTGCCGGCAGGCTTAGGTTGAGCCGCTTCTTGCATCTGGGTTTTTAATGGTTTCATTACAAGAAGTAACATGAACCCATCCAACAAGGAGATTAATGCGAGAATCAGGAAAGGTACTTCTTTTCCTGCAAATTGATACAAAGCTCCTCCAAATGGAGGTGCAACTAAGCAGCCAAAACTGATAAATGCTAGTGCAATACCAAGAGCTTTTGAACGTTCAGATTCCTCGGTAAACCTGTCGGCGATCATAGCTAAGCCTGAGGTATCAGCAAACGCAGATCCAACGCCTTGAAGGCTTCTTGCGAAAAATAACATGCTGTAACTTCGTCCGCACGCAAATATGGACGTGGAAAGAAACATTATTATAAGTCCAAACATCATGGGAATATCGTATCCTATTCTGTCAATTAAGGCACCGGAAAAGGGGTTAATCATGAGCTGCACTATTGCCTTGGAAGCAAAGAGAACTCCAGTTGCAGAATCTTGCCCTTCATGAGAAGCTGGTATAATTTTAGTAGGTATAATGGTCCTATTTCCTTCTATTATTGGCGGCAGAGTGACTACATGGTCATAGCCTGCTTCTCCCCATGCACCGATGTATCGCAAGTAGTCTGGTATGATCGGTACTATTACCATATAAAGCATGTTGTCCAGAAGAAGGGCTATAGATACTATAACTAGGATGATTTTTCTCTGAGAAGTTGGTTCCTTAATCTTCTCCCATAATATCTCGCGAACTTCTCTGACTTCAAGGTTTATAAATGGGATGACGGAGTTGTCGATCTTTTGCCATATTGTTTGCGGTCCTTCCGCCATCTTGATAACTCTCTATTGTATCTTGGAAAATTTTAAATAGAAAATTCTACGAGCATGGTCCTGCCTCGTCTCTTCTCACTGAACACTAACGCGTGGCCCCTCGCCGCAACCCTCGAATGGGACTTCGGAACCTGACAACAGACAGAAATGATCATTTAGTTATCATTTCATCGTCACGATAATTGAAATTGCCTGCGAAAGGCGTTGGGTTCAAAAGGAATTTGAGTCGATCTTTGTTTCTGTAAGTTGACATGGTTCCTCTATCCCAGATGTGTCACAAAGTCCTTAACTGGCAAAGACGATTCAGAGTCCTTTTGAATATTACACTATAAATAGAAAATAGTAACATAATTATCACTAATATAACGACACAATCCTTCATAAAATACTATACATCTATAGATGTGATGCAAAAGAGCAAAAGCACGTACTTAAATACGCCATATTTATTCATATTAATATAAAACTAGTTTCTCGCTAAAATATATATATTTTATATAAGTAAAATAATATAATGGTTTCTAGGAAAACTTTGCATAAATAGAAGCTTTATTAGTCTCAATACAAATAACGTTATCGAAAGACTCTAACGACTTGTTTAGCCAAAATCCAATTTTCGTCGTCAAGCGTCAGCAAGCAACCTCATTACGCGTTCAAGGGGATTTTTCCTTATTTTATTATTTGGCGAAAATCTTTTTGCCAATAGGTCACATTTCAGCAATTTATTTAGTGTTTTTTCTATATTATTAAAATTATTTAATAAGTTTTTTATGTTCATGTTTCAGATTATTTAATTTCAAGGACGTATTTTCAATAAAAAGTCAATATTGAATTATTCGATATTGATTCATAAATACACTTATTGTTTGTCAAAAACTCTACCAACAATTCGGAAATATATATCTCACTCCTAAAAGGACTGCTGATCAAATTAGATTAAATTCTCATTCATTACTGTAGAAGATATAGGCACGTATTTATCACGACTTGTTTGGAATATTCGTTTCAAGGTAGTATGAGATGAGATAGAACCTTAATTATATTTTCATCCCTTAAAATTACAATACATCGGCAAAACCTTAAAAGCAGCATCCAAAATGTACGAGCAACGAATTTCAATGAAGGCGGAGTTAACAAAACCCGGCGGAAGGATTGCTTCACGCTCAATAGGAAGGCAATTTATGTCGACATCACCAGAATAAATTGAAAGGAAAAACGGTAAATTTATTTTTTATTTCTTCCGAAAATACTCTTATAATAAAACGGCTAAATGACCAGTACTTTAAGAATACAAATATAAAATAAACGTTGTAAAGGTCTACAATATTTTACGCTGTATATATACATATATTATGTATGTTATATAATACTACCGTTGTGGAAATATGAGTCACTCTTTGGTAGTACGATTTTAGTATGGCATAAGTTTATGGAAAATATCACGTCGAACTTTTGCGGAAAAGGAAAAGAAGTACCTACACAGCTTGTAATTCATGTAAATGTAAACTACGAGAGTTACATCGATCGAGGTTTTTAATTCGTCGCTCAATATGAGTGCCTTTGTGAATGTGAAAATACGTAACCTTTCTCCATATTGTTTATTGATTCGAATTAATTTAGGTTATCTGGAGTTAAATCTTAGAGCGTCACGCAAAGGCTATTTTCGAGCGGGTCAGGGGCGGAACTATTTCCTACGTGCATGGCGTTCAAGCTTCTATTAAGATTTTCCACTAACTTATATATAATTGGAATGGTAATACAATTGTAACCTTTACATACAATACTTTCCAATCTTGCTTCGCTCACTTTAATAATAATAATACATTCTTAGATTATTATATAAGACGGAGGAGGATTTAGTTACCTTTTTCTGTTATGAAACCTTATTATTGTTTAAAGTCACTATTTGTCTTTAATTTACTTTTTATTGCTTTTAAATTGATTTTGAATTTAGAGCAGAGATTTAGTCTCGAGCGGGGTCGAGACGCCATCACGACATTCTTAGCAGATACGCGGCTTAGTAACGTTGGTTGATCATTGTGGATCATAAAGAGTTATGTTTGATATTGTAGTTGGAAGTCGATGATCGGTGACTGTGAACCCGCTAGCTCTAAATCATTAGAATTACCGTTTCAAGTTTATAACATTGTGACTTCCCTGATTAAATTGTGTATTGAGCACTGAATACTTTATTATTTGAGCCCTGATAACGCCCACAAGATGAGTAACCACTAAAGATGATGTTCGTAGTATATGGATAACACGACATATATATATATATATATATATATATATATATATATATATATATATAGAATATTTGACATCTATACATATAATAAAGTTGTAACTAAGCCGAATCTGTACATTAAATATATTTTTTTGGAAAATCTTATTGAAATAAACATTATTATCGATACAGAGGCCGAATCTATAGTTTTTAGACTGCTTAACTGCCTCGGTGGTGTAGTGACTAGCATGTACGGCTGCACGCTCGGAGGTCCTGGGTTCGAGTCCCGGGTCAGGCCAAGTTTAGTTATTGAGTCTTTCTGTATACTAAGTCTCAGTAACAGCCCGGAGTTGGGAAGTTGGCGGTGTTTCACCCCCGTGCCTCGAAGAGCACATAAAGCCGTCGGTCCTGCGCCTTAACTCTCACTGGTCGTGTCGATTAGTCGTCCCACCGGAGTATGAGAGTGACAGGAATAGAGAGTGCACTTGTGTCTGCTCGTACACTTGTGCACTCACAACACACAATATCTCCTGCGCAGTTGGCTAGTCTCAAAGAGATTAGCCGCCGTAGCCGGAATCGGCTATCTGTCTGTTTGTATGTCTGTTACTGCATCACAGAAAAACCACGGGAGGGATTTTGATAAAATTTGGTATGGTGATAGCTGGTTATCCGGGTCAATATATAGGATACTTTCTACCGCGGGAAATTGTCTCATTTTTGAGAAAAAATACAAAAACTGCAATGTAAGAGTATACTAATATGTAAAATCTAAGAATCTGGTTTTCGGTCATTTGAACGCGGAGCCGCGGGTAATGCTAGTTTTAAATAAAACTATCTTTACAGATTTTTTCGAGGATTAATTTTGATTTTTGGTACCCGACGTTTCGAATGCTTTACAGCAATCACGGGAGAGAGTGTTAGATGTCTCAATGGTTAATATAGTTGTTACAGACAGCCTACCCAAAAATTACAAAATGAATTCAAAAAATTGAAAACTGGCACCAAAGTACCTTACAATATTTTTTAATTTTAAACATTTTTATAATTTTAATTAGTTTTATAATTGAATATAGAATATTATTTATTTAATTTTAGCTGTTAATATTATATTTATTGAATTTTTTTGAGACATCTAACATCTAAGTCTCTTCCGTGACCATGATTGCAGTAAAGCATTTGAAACCTCGAGAACCAAAAATCAAAATAAATCCGCGAAAAAATCCGTAAAGATAGTTTTATTTAAAATGTTTAGTAATAATATTTTACCTAAAAAGTGACACCGACATCAAAATCAAGTTAAAAGAAATTATTCCACCTACATATTATATAGGACGGATTATATCTTAATAATCATAATATGTAATTACCATTAAAACAAAACTCATTCATGAAAAAAGAAAGATTAAAATCGGTTCACAATACATGTTACCAGTAACCAAATATCCAATAAAAAAAGACCTTCTCCTTTTTGAAATTGATTAAAACCTCTATGTTGCTAGCAGGAAACAGGAAAAGGTGAATTAAACACCTATATTTTTAGCTTCTCAAATTGCGTCGTAAAAGTTACATCTGATGACTAAAATAATGCTACGTCACTTAAATACGAAGCGAACAGTATATGTATTAGTATAAAATGGAGATTGAATGTATTTGGGATTTTCTTACTGTAGACCTTATTTTGTTGGGAAATTAAAAAAAATAAGTCTCGACGACAACGCCAGCTAACGGGTCGTACGTGTTAGGGTTATTAAATTATATACCGAATCTATCTATCTATCTATAATAAAATTGTAACTAAGTCGAATCTGTACATTAAATATTTTTTGGAAAATCTTGTTGAAATAGACATTATTATCGATACAGAGTCCGAATTTATAGTTTTTAGAGTTTTTGTCTGTCTGTCTGTCTGTCTGTCTGTTACCGCATCACGAGAAAACCACTGGACAGATTTTGATGAAATTTGGTATGATGATAGCTGGTTATCCGGGTCAACATATAGGATTATAATAGAAGAAAGAAGATAGGATTCTTTTTACCGCGGGAAAATATCTCATTTCTGTGAAAAAATACAAAAACTGCGTTGTAAGAGTAACTATTATGTAAAACCTAAGAATTTGGTTTTTGGTCATCGAACGCGGGCGGAGCCGTGGGCAATGCTAGTACTCTGTAATTATAAAATGTATTTTATGAATGTCACTTAACACTTGTCAATATTTTAAAAAGTAGGTCAATTCTACTTTTCGTTATGAACTTGATTAGAATATTTCGTTTACTTTTACTTCATATTTGGTGGAAAGTAGTACAATATATAGATTAATGACGAGGATATTGACGTTTTATTGACGATCCCGTCATGCGATAGTTAAGAACTAACCAGAATATCCGAGGAGCCCTTTAAAAGAAGAATTACGGGATTTTATATAAAAGAACTTTAAGCTTTATCTCTTTTGGCCAATCTAATCTGGCCAACGCTAACCTGCTTAACCGAATATGTCTAAAAACTCAAAAATGATTATCTTTTTTAAAATAAAGATAGAATATCTGCTTATATACAAAATTGAAATATTTCAAGAAGAGAAATTATAAACATTAACTAGTTTTACGATGAACATGGATAGATAACGAGAAAAAATATTTAACGTCAGCCTTTGCAGAACAAAATCTATGTCAAGAGTCGTCAGTTTGAGGGCGTTCGTGCCGAGCCAGCGAACAGTTTAAATATAGAAAAGAAAAATAACCAAAATGGTTAAAAATAATATAAACTCTAATG